CGCATAGCTTTGCACGCGCGCAGCTGCGCACAGCTGCGCACGCATGCAGCTGCAGTGCGCGCGGCTGTGCGCGGCTGCATACGGCCGTACGCGGCCGTACGTGGCTGCGCGCGGCGGTACGCGGCTGCGCGCGGCCGTACGCAGCTCGCGGCTGTGCGTGCGTGGCTGCAGCTGCTCGTAACGGGACAAGGGGGGCGGGTAGTGTGGGGCGGGGCGACGAGGCAGCGGGGTCCGCGAGACGAGGCGGACGACGAGGGCCGCGAGCGCCGTCCCGAAGCGTGCGCGAAGCGTGTGCACGACGCGCGCACCCGAAGCGCGCGCGAAACGCCCGCGGACCGTGCAGGGAGGCGAGTTCGACGCCATCAGTTCGCACAGCTACTGCAGCAGAGAAATAGGTCGCCATGTGTGACGGCGGATCGGGTGGGCCCATGATTAATAGGTCCTAGGAAGGACAAGGCTCTGATACCATGTTAATATCCTAAGATAACTTAGGACTAGGGTTTAGGGGTGAAACCACAATGTCGAGAGAGTTTAGCCAAAAGAGAGGGGTTTCACTATAGGCTCAAGGGTACAAATAGGAAAGAACAAGCATGAGAAGAAAGGTGCACCACCTAACAAGCAAGATAACTACACTATGTTATGCTACAGGCAGTTAATACAAATATATATTATTTGACAGGATGAGCTATACACACTCACCTTCATCGACGCTGGAACGCGCTACGTGTGGGTCGTGAACGTGGAGACGCGCGACAGAGCCTACGAGGTATTTCGCCTCTGGCTGCCGCACGCGGAGCGGCAATCTGGGAAGAAGCTCAAGATTTGGCAGTCCGACGGCGCAGAAGAATTCATGAGCAACCAGATGCAGACATTCCTGGCGCAAAAGGGGATCGAGCACCACATCTCCCTTCCCTACGCGCACCAGCAGCAGGGCGTAGCTGAGCGGACAAACCGCACGCTGATGACGAAGGTGCGCGCGCTGATGAAGCAGTCAAAGCTGCCGCCGATCTACTGGACTTACGCGATGCACCACGCCGTACGGGTGCACAACCTCCTTACACAACCTGTCCCCGCACGTCAAGTGGACAGGAACCAAGGGGGACACCTCCATGCTCCGCGTGTGGGGGTGCATGGTGCAGTATCGTCCGCCAACCTCAACCATCGGCAAATTTGCCAGCCGCGCGCGCTGGGGAATTCACCTCGGCATCAGTCACGAATACAACGCATGGATCATCCTAGAACTCCTCAGCCAGAAGACCGCCCATGCTCGCGACGTAATCTTCTACGAGCGTCTCTTCCTCGACCAGTTCCGCCGCGACGAGGAAACGAACGCGAATCGCGTCTACGCCAACAATGGCCACAGCTACGCAACGCCTGAAGACGAAGCCGCTGCAGCAATCTTGGAGCAGGACACAAGGGGGGAATTCGCGTGGGAGGATCGGCGCAGTAGCGACGACGACGACGACGATTCCTCGGGAGGAGGAATTGGCGGAGCAGGCGGAAGCGGAACGGGCGGAAGCGGCGGAGGCGCAGCACCACCAGCACCACCTGAACCTGAAAGCGACGACGACGATGTTCAGGAGGTCATCCCGCAACGTCGCCACGACAGCACCGTCTCGGGACTGCAGCTACTCGGCCTTCACGCCGCAACCTCGAAGGCGCCGCGCATCATCGAGCCCCGAAACCCGCGCGAAGCTCTTTCTGGACCGCACAGCAAGGAGTGGCGCGAGGCGATGGACGCGGAAATCAAGGCACTGGAGTCACGCGACACCTGGGTGCTCGTCGACCGCGCAGCAATCAAGGGCGCAAGGATCCTCTCGGGGAAGTGGGTCTTCCGCGTGAAGACCGCGGCGGATGGAACGATCGAGCGCTTCAAGGCGCGCTGGGTGGTTCGCGGCTATGACCAGAGGCATGGGATCGACTTCGACCAGACATTTGCCCCAGTCAGCCGCCACACCTCCGTCCGCATCCTGCTCGCCATCGCAGCTGCAAGGCACCTGCCACTCCGTCAAATCGACGTGAAGAACGCGTTCCTACACGCGTTGGTAGATGCCGTGATTTACGTGGAGCAGCCACACACCTATGGCGAAGGAGGCACGCGCGTGTGTCAGCTGCGGAAGTCACTCTACGGCATCAAGCAGGCGCCGAGGCTGTGGCAGCAGTACTTGCACAACATCCTGCTTGAAATCGGGTTCAAGCAGATGCCGCACGACCCAGGGATGTACCGCCGCGATTTCCGCGGCGAATACATTCTCCTCACAGTGTACGTCGACGACCTGCTTTACACAGGCTCAAACAACGAGCTTCTCGAGCAGTTCGAGAAGGCCTTGGCGGGGCGCGTCGACATCACGTGCAATTACGAGGTGAAGCAGTTCCTAGGCCTCAACATCTCCTACGCGCCTGAGGCCATTCATCTCTCGGCGGCTGAGTACGCAGAGGAGCTGGGGAAGCGGTTCAACATTTCACCGGCATCTCTCTCAACTCCCTATCGCACCCCCGGACCGAACCACAAACCTGACAACAAAGCCCTATCCCCTGCTGGGATCCAGACTTACCAGCAGCAGTTGGGATGCCTCGTCTTCACCTCTGTCACCTGCAGGCCAGATCTCTCGTACATCGCAAGTCAGCTTGCGCAGTACTCACGCAAACCAACGGCTGAGAATCATCTGGACCTGCAGCGCGCTCTTCAATTCTTCGTCTCAACGCCCAAGATTGGGCTGTGCTACTCAACTGCACCAACTCCATCCTTCAACCTCGTAGGCTACGTGGACGCCGATCACGCAGCAGACCCTGATAATCGACGGTCCAGGACCGGCTTCCTGTTCCGACTCGAGCCATCGGGACCAATCTCCTGGAATTCACAGAAGCAGGAATTGGTTGCCCTGTCATCAGCCGAAGCGGAATTCATCGCAGCAACCGCAGCAGTTCGCGAAGGCCTTTTACCTGCAGGAACTCCTGCAAGAGGCGAAAATTCCGACTTCGCCGACCTTCCGCCTTCACTGCGACAACCAGAGCGCGATTCGCATCGCGAACAAACCTGGTTTCGTCAACCGCACCAAGCACATCGCGCTGCGGTACTTCTTCGTGAAAGTCGAGGTGGACAAAGGCAAGGTCAACTTGACCTACTGCCCGACCGGTGACATGGCAGCAGACTTCCTCACGAAGCGACTGCCACGCCAGCAGTATCAACACTGCTCCGAACTCAGCGGCGTGGTCAAGCAGGTCAAGTCGAGCTACGGCCAGGAGTGAAGGGGGGTGTTACGAATAGTAATATTTGATGATACTGTGCACTCCTCACCGCAGCAAGAGAAGCACGCAGTAACGAGAATGAACGCGAAGCGTCAGACGGTTGGAATTGACTCGAAGCGTCAGACAGTTGGGACGCATCTGGACCGTCGGAGCAGACGGCATCGGGCAGCTGCAGGCAAGGTGGTTTTGGCGGGAACAGTTACGAAACTGTACGCGCCGCACGGTTGGGAATGTATTTGAATAAGGGAATGTACCCCTTAGAGTACATGGCTAGTTAGGTCGTTTCGTATTCCCTTGTACTCATATTTATATTTCTTGTTTTGCATGTTTTAATTCATCTCAAGCATTTTACATTCACTCTGCTATTGAGGTCAAGGGCCCACCAAACTATCTCACTGCGTGCGAACCTTCCTGAGTAGATCCTAGGCCACGATCAACTTCTGATCGCAGCAAAATGAACTTATCAGACATATACATTACAGAGTATGAAGGTTAATAAACAGTATTGAATTGCCTTTTGAGGTCCCTGTTACAAAATATATTTCATGTAGATTTATATAAATGCTTGTAAATGTAATTGTAACTTGTAGTATAGATATTGTTACTGTCAGAATCCCAACCACTAACCATTGGGATAAAAGGGCTTGTTTGTATAGCGGGTGAGTGCGCCCATAACCCCCCAGGCCAACGTGCCTGTAACCCTTCCCTAGGATCAATCGGGGATCACTAGTGGACCTCTTACAGTTACGAATAGTAAATTAGAAAAGAACACTGTGCACTCCCGACAAGCAGCAAGCGAAGCCACCAAACATAAAGCAAGATATCGCATTGCCACATTCCCCCAAGCATTTATATGGATATATAGAATATTTACCGTTGATGGACAATAACGCTATAGAATATTTATAGAATACATTTTGCTCATGCCTTCTCGCATTGTATTGTTTTGCTTAGATGGTGCAATATTAGCAAGATCACTCAGTTGCACTCAACCCACTCCAACCCAACCTTCTCCCGAAATTGTGAGGGACTCGCCAACAGGGTTTGGCTGCATCGCATGAGCGTTTCCAGGGGAGGGCAAGCGAATCAACGTGCATCAAAGGGTGTGCAGTGAGAATGCTCCCAAAAAATACCTAAATGAATCATCTGCAGCTTTGAAGAAACTTCAGGACACACAACAAAAAAAAGTTACACAGCCCGAATGTATTGCAGTTCAACGCCCTGGTTTTGCGGCCTGCATTTGCACTTGAAGAGGGCAGTACGAAACCCGGCTGGAGATTCTTCCACTAAAAGTTACTGTTTCTGCTAGGTCTGAAATGCTTCACACGCAGTTGCGAGGGACAACAATATTGGGACCAGCCAAACTCATCAAGCTTTAAAAGTTTAGGTGAAACTGCAGCGAGTGCAGCAGCAGCTTGTCAAACTTCCCGAAATGGGGGAGACCTTGGTTGGTCCTTGCCCACTTGCCCATCTGTGCTCTCTTATCGAGATGCGGGACCACGACAAATCTTGATCACTCATCTTTTGGATGGAATGGAAGTCGAGAGCGAGCTCTTGCTTCCAAACAGTCATTTTGCATTTCGCCTCTCGTGTCCTTTCTTTCGCTTCCCTGGACCTCTCCAAAGTCATCTACAACTTCTCTGCATTGCAAAACTTCCGCTTGTGCTCTTCCTCCCAAGAGTTTCTTCTGCTCCTTGACCGCCGCCCCGTGTTCCTCGCCTGGGTTTCCCCACTCAAGGCAGTCAGCCGCCATGGCTGAGGACAGCACGGATGTTTCTGGCCCCTCCGTCACGGGGGAGCCACTCCCGCCATCGACGGCTCCCGCCGTTAGTTCGGACGCGCCCGCCGTCAGTTCGGACGCGCCCGCAGTCAGTTCGAACGCGCCCGCCTCATCCGCCAGCAGCGAACCGCTCCTTCAAGCAGCCACCGCCGAGGCTCCCGCAACCAGCGCTCCCGTCGCGGATGTCGACTCGGGTGCTTCCGCCGATGCCCCTGCTGCTGCTGCTGCTGCTGCTGCTGGGCGAGGCGAAGCCGCCGGGGTGGAAGTGGCGAGACGCGCTGCTTCCGCTGCAGGCGGGGCTTAAGGACTTCGACTACGACGCGAAGCACCACTCCAAGGAGGACCAGAGCCGCTGGCGCAAGATGTCGCTCGTGCGCAACGCCGCGCGTCGCTTCCGCTACACGCACAACATCTCGCAGCCCGATCCACGGGTGAGTCGCGGCGGCTCCGCCCGGTACCCCTATGCTGCTGCGGCTGCAAATGCTGCTGCTGCTGCTGCTTCTGCGTCCAATGTCGATCGTTGCTGCTCGTGCTGCGTGTCGGCCGCTCTCCTCGTTCCGCAGTTGTGACCCTCCCTTGTCGATCCTCTTGTACTTGCATCGTAGCGCGCGGTATCTAATGTCCCTGCGCCTTGTTGCGTTCTTCCGTTCTTCCGCGGTAATGTCTCGCGGCAGGAGTCGGTGGCGAGTCGCCTGCGCGTGGGCGCGTCGGCGATTAAGGCCGTCACGCGCTTCAAGTCAGGTGCGCCTGATTCTCTGCCGGCAGGGCACCACGCGACAGCCGGTTGGGGTTGGGGCGGGGCGAAGGGGTTAGGGGGAGAGTTGAGAAGGTAGAGGGGGAGAGGATTGAGTGGGGCACACGGGGAGATTCTTCGTACCTGAGATGAGAGGATTAATGCGCTCGCCTCATGCGACGTATGCGACGGTCGCTGCGAAATGGCAGACTGTGGCGGCGATATTGCCACCAGGTCATATCCATCTAGCCGACTCTCCACATTCCAACCACTTCCCACCCATTCTTCCGCTCCTTATCCCGCTCCCCTCCCCCCAATCCTCCCCTTCCGCCTTCCGCCCTCCGACTCCCCCTCCCCGCGCAGTTCTCTCGCGGATCTCCGACGCGGCGGTGAAGGCGGCGCGCGCGGAGGGCTTCGGGCTGTCGGCGAAGCAGCTGGAGGGGATCATGTCGGGGCAGGACGCGGCGGGGCTGCAGAACTCGTACGGCGGCGTGGAGGGCATCGCGCGGCGCCTCGACGCGGACCTGCACCAGGGAATCACGGCCACGGAGGCCGACATTGCGCGCCGAGTCAAGACGTTTGGAACGAACACGTACCCCGAGAAGCCGCCCAAAACGTTCTTCGAGTTCGTGTGGGACGCCATGCAGGTGCGCGCGGAACAGGGCATTTAGGTTTAGGTTTTTCTTCTTTTTTTTTTAGGCGCACTTGAGGTCGGCCTTAAAAGTCGGCATTTGAGGTCGGCGTTTATATCACCTTACTGTGGGCGTAAGCGCCATTGTGCAAGCGCCCGCATCTCCTTCCCACCGTTACGTCCTTTGTGACTCGCCTGCGCCGTTCGCGATCGATTTCTTGTAACAGCCCTCCCGCCCGCTCAAGCTTCCCCGCGACTCTCTTGCGCTCCCGCCTGCAACCCAAGCTTAAACCGGCACTCCTAAGTCGCCCTCTCAGCCAATCGCAAGCACTGTCGACGATGTGCATGCATTCTCGAGATCTTTCTCCCCTTCTCGTGCCAAACCCTCACCCCTTTCTCCTCGCCTTCCCCATCCTTTCCCACCCCACGCGTTCCCCTCGTCCCTTCCCCCCCTTCCCCTCCAATCCCTCCCCCCTCCTTCCCCCCGTTTGGCTCACGCGCGCGCAACCGCGTCGCCGCGCCCCGCAACCGCGCGCAGGACATGACGCTGTGGATCCTGGCGGTGTGCGCGGTGTTCTCGCTGCTCGTGGGCATCGTCGAAGCCTGTTCCCCCCTCTCTTGCCAAACCCTCACCCTTTCTCCCCTCCGCATGTGCGCTCGCGCAGGACATGACGCTGTGGATCCTGGCGGTGTGCGCGGTGTTTTCGCTGCTGGTGGGCATCGTCACGGAGGGGTGGCAGGAGGGGTGGTACGACGGCGCGGGTATCCTGCTCTCCATCCTGCTCGTCGTCTTCGTCACCGCCACCAGCGACTATCGCCAGTCGCTGCAGGTGCGCGCGCTCCCTGCCCGGTCCCGAGGGTTTAGGGAATCCCGCGCATCTCACGCGCTTGTCGTCCGCTCTGCTCCCCGCTCCTCCGATCCACCCACATTGCCCCTTCCGCCAACCCGTCTCCCTCCGCTTCCCCGTCATTCCCTGCGCGAGCGCGTCAGTTCCGCTGTTTGACGCGGATAAGTAGTTTCCGGCGGAGGTGATGCGGGGGAGCGCGCGGCAGGCGCTGCCTTGAGGTGAGGCACCTACAGAACTCTTCCCCCTCCTTCCGCCCTCCCTTCCCATCCCCCCATGCGTGCGCGCGCGCGCGTCAATTCCGACTGCTGGACGCGGAGAAGAAGAAGGTGAAGGCGGAGGTGGTGCAGCAGGCTCTGATGAGAACCCTAAAAAATCTTCTCCCCCTCTCCCCTCCCCCACCAACCACCCTTACCCGTCCCCCTATCCGCCCGCGCGCGCGTCAGTTCCGGCTGCTGGACGCGGAGAAGAAGAAGGTGACGGTGGAGGTGGTGCGCGGGGGCGTGCGGCAGGCGCTGTCCGTGTTCGACCTGGTTGTGGGCGACGTCATCGTGCTCTCCACCGGCGACATTGTCCCCGCCGACGCGCTCTTCATCCAAGGTGCGCGCGTGCGTGCTTTGCCTGTCAAAGTCGCTGGCAGGCAGGCAGGATCGCGTCTGAGAGCTGTCGAAATTGCTGTCCGTGTCCGACCTGGTTGTGGGCGTCCGTGTTCGTCATTGTGCTCTCCACCGGCGACATTGTGAGTTTTGAGACGTCTCAAAACCCACCCATCGGTGACATTGTCCCCGCCGACGCGCTCCTTTTTCGTCCAAGGTGCCGTTCCTGCCTCGCTCTCTCGCACGCGCTGCTCATTCACGTGCGTCACATCACCCCCGCGCGCTCGCGCAACTCCCCCCAAAACCACCCCTCCCCAACCCCCCCACCGGCGACATTGTCCCCGCCCCGCCAACGCGCTCCTTATCCAAGGTGCCCCACTGACCCGACCCTCACTCCCGCGCACTCGCGCGCAACCCCCCCACTCCCCCTCGCTTACCAGCAACATTGTCCCCACCGGCGCGCTGATCATGCAAGGTGCTGCTTGCCTGCCGCGCTCACTCCCTCACACTCGCACACCCCCCCGCTCTATCCCCACCGACCCCCTTCTCCTCCCGCAACCACTTCCCCCTTACCGGTGACATTGTCCAAGGTGCCGCTTGCGTCCTGCTGCGCTCATTAAGTGCCTTGCCTCACGCCCGCACGCTAGCGCAAACCCCCCAACCACCCCACCCCCCAACCCCCCTCGCTTACCGGCGACATTGTCCTCGCTGACGCGCACCTCATCCAAGGTAAGATGCCTCACTGACCCTCACTGATCCTCACTCCCGCTCGCACGCGCGTGCGTACGTGAGCGCTTCCCCGCCTAGTCCTCGTGCCCCGTGAGTTGCGCCCCTTGGTCAGTCCTGCACGCAACTGCTCGCGCCGTTCCGCTGGTTTTCCTCGCCGCCATACGCGATGCGCTTGCCTCGGGCTGCGCTCTCGCTCGTGGTAACGTGTTCAGCGGACGGACGGCATGGCACGGTAAGGAGCAGCAACCATGGGCGTGGGGACGAAAAGAAGAGGAGGAACGAACTAGTGGTGTGAGAGCACAAGAGGATCAGTCAAGCACCACAAGAGGCTCAGAGTGCCCACAGCTCCCACTTGGTCTTGATACTCCTCCCCACCACACCTTTCAAACACCACACCCGTGCCACACCACACCCGTGCCACACCACACCCGTGCCATGCCATATGATGCTGCCTCCTCCTATCCCCACGAGTCACCACCACTATCCCCGTACCATCTCGCCACCTCTCCTTACCTCCTCTGGCCGTCTCTCGTGAAGCGGATCCGAGCAGAGCAGCAGGGTGAACAGCGAGTGGAGAGCAGAAAGAAACAGTCGCACGCTCTCTATTCTCTCGATTCTCTCTATTCTCTCAATCGCTACCCAGGGCCCGTACCACCCTCTTACGGCCTCTTGTCGGCCTCCTGTCTGCCCGCCTGCCTAAAGACCAATAGGTAGATCCGACGTTCAAGGTCTAGTTCCGACGTTCCGAGGGCAGGGAGTTTCAGCCAGGGAGTTTCAGCCAGGGAGTCGAGCATGACGGGCGAGAGCGTGCCAATCCTGCGCTCCCCACACGTTGCCGAGTGTCCCGAAACGAATCTCACCCCTTTCTTCCCCACCACCCCGCCCCCTCTTCCCTCTCCCTGGTGGTGGACGAGTGGAGCATTACGGGCAAGAGCGTGCCGGCATGCAAGGGCAAGGAAGCACCGTTCTTCGTGGCGTGCCCTGTGCCTCCCACATGCTGTTGGTTGTCACATACAGAACACAACCCGTTACACCCCCTCACCTCGCCCCCCCGCAGGGCACAGCCTGGTGGTGGACGAGTCGAGCATGACGGGCGAGAGCGTACCAGCCTACAAGGGCAAGGAGGCACCGTTCTTCCTGGCGGGCACCAAGGTGCAGGACGGCCATGGCACCGTGCTCGCCACGGGCGTGGGCATGCACACGGAGTGGGGGCAGCTCATGGCCAAGCTCACTGACAGTGGGGATGATGAGACGCCTCTGCAGGTGCGTGCGTGTGTGTGTGTGTGTGTGTGTGTGTGTGTGTGTTTGCCTTTTGGGACGTCTCGCAAGGGGTGGGCATGCACACAGAGTGGGGGCAGCTCATGGCAGGCTCACTGACAGCGGCGACGATGAGACGCCGCTGCAGGTAGGAGTTTGGGGGTGCCTAGAGGATTGACGCAGCAGTTGAGCCCTGAGAATGATACAGCAGAAGCAGCAGCAGCAGCAGCAGCAGCAGCAGCAGCAGCAGCAGCAGCAGCAGCAGCAGCGCTCGTGGTGGGCGTGGGCATGCACACGGAGTGGGGGCAGCTCATGGCAGGCTCACTGACAGCGAGGACGACGAGACGCCTCTGCAGGTGCGTGCGTGCAGGGGGATTGGAGGACGGGAGATGGGAGTGGGACGGGGATGAAGGGCTGTGGTAGTGGGGGATTGTGGGTGCCGTTTGGAGAGGAGCGGGGAGTTGGTGCGTGAGGAAGTAAGTTCTGTGCAGTTGTGTGGAGGGATAGCTTTGACAGCTATGGAGCTAAACTGTATCTCCTTCCCTCCCCTTCCCTCCCCTTCCCTCCCCTTCCCTCCCCTTCCCTCCCCTTCCCTCCCCTTCCCTCCCCTTCCCTCCCCCCTTCCATCCCCTTCCCCCCCCTTCCATCCCCTTCCCTCCCCTTCCATCCCCTTCCATCCCCTTCCCTCCCCTTCCCTCCCCTTCCATCCCCTTCCCCCCCCTTCCCTTCCCTTCCCTCCCCTTCCCTTCCCTTCCCTCCCCTTCCCTCCCTCCCTCCCTCTCTCCCTCCCTCCCTCCCTCCCTCCCTCCCTCCCTCCCTCCCTCCCTCCCTCCCTCCCTCCCTCTCCACCCACCCCCCTGCCTTCCCACCCGTGCACCACCCGCCTGTCTGTCTGTGCATGTGCGGGCGCGCAGGTGAAGCTGAGCGGGGTGGCGACGCTGATAGGGCGCGTGGGGCTGTACGTGGCGCTGCTGGTGTTCTTCGTGCTCATGTACCGTCTCCTGCGCTCCACCTCGCTCTGGGACTGGTCCTTCCACCACACCCTCGAGGTGCGTGCCCTGCACCCCTCTCTTGAGACGTCTCGCAATAGCCTTCCACCACCACCCTCCAGGTGCGCTCGCGTCTGCATGTGCCTGTGCATGTGTGTGTGCGTGGAAGCACAATCCAGTTTCGAGATGTCGCAAAACTCACCTCACTCGCTCGCGCACGTGCATGTGAGCGTGGAAACACAATCATCCCACCAGCTGCTTTTCTCCATACATCACCTCACCAGCGTCTAACTACTTCCAAGCATTCCACCGTCCTCATCCTTATTCCACGCCCCCAATCTCTCCCCTTTCTCCCCACACTACTCACCTCTCCCCCTCCCCCTCCCCAATCAGGTGGTGCATTTCTTTGCCATAGCCGTCACCATCGTGGTCGTGGCAGTCCCCGAGGGCCTCCCCCTCGCCGTAACCCTCTCGCTCGCCTTCGCCATGAAGAAGATGATGCGGGACAAGGCGCTCGTGCGCAAGCTGGCGGCCTGCGAGACCATGGGGTCTGCAACGACCATCTGCAGTGACAAGACCGGCACGCTCACAGCCAATCAGATGACCGTGGTGCAGGCGTGGCTCACTGGCTCTGTGCACGTGCTGCCGTTTCAAGACCCCACTGCTGCGCCCTCTCCCGTGGTTAGTTGTTGATGTCTCTGCTGCTGCTGGTGCTGCTGCTGGTGCTGCTGCTGCTGCTGCTGCTCTTGTGTTCGTCATGCCTGTCTGCTCCGAGCATCATTGTTTGCTCACCTCATGCCCTCCTGCCTCCCTTCCTCAGGACCTCAACCTGCCCGAGTCCCTCCGCACATCTCTCCTCCTCAACTTCTTCCTCAACACCAGCGGAGACGTGCAGCCTCTCCTTGCCGTGTTTCGAGTCAACTCAAAACACGCCTCACCTCACCCATCCCCTCCCTCCCCCCTCCCCCAGGACCTCAATCTGCCCGAGTCCCTCCGCACATCCCTCCTCCTCAACTTCTTCCTCAACACCAGCGGGGACGTGCAATCTCCCCCCGCCGACGCCCCCGCAGGCGCGCCCCCCGTGCTGCTGGGCACCCCCACGGAGCAGGCCATGCTCGCGCTGGGGCTGCGCCTGGGCGGCGAGTGGGCGGGGGTGCGCGGCAGCGTGCAGGTGCTGAAGCTGCAGCCCTTCAACTCGCAGCGCAAGCGCATGGGCGCGGTTGTGAGGCTCGCGGACGGGACTGTGCGTGTGCTGTGGAAGGGTGCTGCGGAGATTGTGCTTGCTACGTGCACCCAGGCCGTCAGCAACGAGCAGGGCGAGGTGCGATGGGCATGCAGGGGGGGGAGGGAAGAGGGGATAAGGGGGAAGAGGGGATAAGGGGGAAGAGGGGATAAGGGGGAAGAGGGGATAAGGGGGAAGAGGGGATAAGGGGGAAGAGGGGATAAGGGGGAAGAGGGGATAAGGGGGAAGAGGGGATAAGGGGGAAGAGGGGATAAGGGGGAAGAGGGGATAAGGGGGAAGAGGGGATAAGGGGAAGAGGGGATAAGGGGGAAGAGGGGATAAGGGGGAAGAGGG